CCTGAATCCCTTGAACTTCAGAGAAAATGATGGTTCAAATGATATTTAACATTTCAAGAACAACTACAAGCTCTTCAAGAGTCTTGAGAGAGAGAGAGAGAAAGGGAGGAAGAAATAGGAAAAGATACAGTTTTACATTGTAGCGTTTTACTTCTATTAATTGCAGAACTTCTACTTCTATTAAGTGCACAACTCATAGTAAAACACAAGATTCAGTCCATTGGGGGAAATATTTACGTCAGTCATAGCCATGTATTTGGTACTTGGAAGGCTCATGGTTTCCAGGTCTTGGCTGCATTTACTGGCAAAAACATCCCAAAACTTCCGAAAAACACTTTCACTTTGACCCTACCTCCAGGAAATTCTGATTCAATTGGTTTGCTCAGATAAGTGGACAGTGCTCTTTTTTTTAAAGTTCTCCATGAACTACTATGTTGAGAGCCACTGAGGTAGCTCCAGTCATTGTGCAGTTTTCACCCTGAAACCAGGGTGAGAAGATGCACCGGTGTTTAGCAGGTCAGGAAAGATGCGGAAGGCAGTGAGTACATGATGAGTCAGGCCATTATCTGTCAAGTGTGCTAGGTGTCATTTCAGGTAAGAGGAAAATCCGTGGCAAAAATTAAAAAGGTACATTCATTTGCTTTTGTTCTTGACTGATTAGACCTGGTCTCTTGACTCCTGGAATTCTTTGCATGTCACTCAGAGCATTTCAACAGGATTCTGGTTTAAATTCCCCATACATATAAATGTGCCAATGAGCATGACCACAGCAATCTGTTGTAAGTCTCCTGGAGGCTGTGAGGCGATGGCAGACACCAGCAATGAGATGGACAGCAGAGAACGAGTGGACCAGAGCTCCTGAGCCCTGGGCTTGGAAAGTCTTTGCAGGGAAAGAGAGAGGATCCTTTTCAGTTTAAACTAAGCAGAATGTCCCCCGGGGACTGTGGAGGAGATAACAGGGAGAGAAAGCCAGGAGGACCATTATCCCTTTGTGATGACGCAGCTCAAAGCCCTGTAGTGAGCAATTAGACAAAGTAGACTTTCAGTCGGCTCAGATGAAGGCCCTTCGAGACGGACGTTTTATACATGCAGGAGTGGGCTGGTCCTCCCATGAAAATATCAGAGGGAAGACAAGGTAGATCAACAGAGCGAAGGTTCCTTTGGTTTCTTATCATGTTGTTGTTCGGTACCATCAAGTCTGTTCTGACTCATAGCGACCCTATGCGCAACCCAACAGAGAAGGACCCTGAGATCCAGAGAAGTCCAGTAACCTGCTTACAGCTGCACAGCAGACACTTAGACCTCGGTTCTCTCGACTGTAAATGAGTGGGTACTTATTATTTCATGATTACCATTATTATGGTTTGAAACCTTCTTCTTTAGCGAAGATGTAGGCCAGGTTCTCTGCTGGGTTCTGGAGCTAGGATAGAATGAATCCTCTCCTTGGAATGCCCTCTCCTGGGTGAAGCATCTTCAAAGACTCCCCTCTCCCCGCCAGGTCTGTAACCTGGGGCTTCTGTGCCTGGTTTGTGTCTCCCGGAGCCTAGCCTGCATGGGACGGTGTGGGCTTTGGGGGATCTGCCTTTACCTGCCCATGTCTGTCCACAGGTGGTGGGCAGGGGAGTGGGAAGCATGCTCGGCGACCTGCGGGCCCTACGGAGAGAAGAAGAGAACGGTGCTGTGCATCCAGACCACGGGCTCCGATGAGCAGGCTCTTCCCACGCAGGACTGCCAGCACCTGCTGAAGCCCAAGCCTCGGCTTTCCTGCAACAGAGACATCCTGTGTCCCTCGGACTGGACCGTGGGCGACTGGAGCGAGGTGCATTGGGGGGTTGTGGGAAAGTGACATCATTCCTACCTCACCAGCCCCACCAAAGGGACCGTGGGTCAAACTGCACACTAGCCAGCAACCATCTGGCCTATCTCTCGCCACCACCCATATGTGGATCTTCTCCTGCTTGTTTTCCATTCTTCTAGGATCTTGTTCTCATGTGCCCCACAGGCAGTTATGTCCAGGGGTGTGCCGGAGCCCACTCAGGCCGACCCAGGAGAAAGAAGTGATGCATTTCCATGATGCTTGCTTAGCACGAGGTCTTAAACTATTTGTCGTACATCGAGGAGGGCTCCCTACCTGACCCCCAGGAGCCAGTTTGCTCAACGTATACCATCAGAGCTCTGATGAGCTCAAACCAAGGCAGTGTTGTCTAGTGGGGGAACAGAGGGCAGCACCCTGACAGTGACAGCAGCCTCTCCAATCACACACCTATTCAGTCTGTGTCAAGGCCAGGTCTGACCGACCTTAGCATGTTCGCTGTTATTAGCCACATACACAAACATTAAATATGGGTTGCATCTTCTCACACAATTAACCTGATCTAATTCTCTGAGTATAATTAGAAATCAGAGGGTTAGAAGGTTATTGCAAACTTAGAGCATTTCATTTTCTGCAGGTCACCATGGAAACTGGTACGACCTGGCCTCAGCATGTCCCCAGAGTGATGGGGTATGATTAGCACCCTTCTTTTTCCCAAAGGCATGTAGTCTCAGTCGGGCCTCAGTTGGGCTGAGCCATACTTATTTTAGCTAATGCCTTGGCGAATGGCTGGAAAACAAATGATTTCTTAAACTATTTGTAAATGGATTCTGACATCTTACGGGCTTAATTTGGAAGCCATACACTTTCTATAACCATGATCTCATTCACTAGAATTTTCTAGAAACTCCTCTTGGGAGGTACCTTCAGAGAAAATTGAAAATGTTTGATTCCAGAGAATAAGAGCCACATGAACAACTTCCCTAAAAGCCTGTGTGTTTAGAAAGTATATATATTTGGCTAGAAATAAATCACCTAGAGTGGAGCCCTGGTGACATAGTGCTGGCACGTTGGGCTGCTAACTGCAAGGTCAGCAGTTTGAAGTCCCCGCTTCTCCAAGGGAAAAGGATGGGGCTTTCTACTCCTATAAAGAGTTTCCATCTCAGAAACTCACAGAGGCAGTTCTACCATATCCTGTAGGGGTGCTATTCGTCAGCATCGACAATAGCAGTGACATTGAGACGTGACCGAGCCTAGAAAGGCACTCCAGAGGTGCGGTGCTATCTAAAGACGAATTCGGAGTGTTGTGTAAGAGACAGGGCCATCTCTGAAGATCACTGTTTGGAAGCAGACACATAAAACCCCAAGCAGCTTCAGTAACTTTATTTCCAAAACTATTTCATTAACTCAGTGGCACAAATCAGGTTTCCTTAGCTTCTGGTTGCTTGTTTGCCTGCTTGCTTGTTTGTTTTCAGGGTGCAGTCTTAAACATCTGAGGGAAAGCTGAAAAGAAATGGGAGGTGTGGCCCCTATTGATAAGAAATGTCCATCAACGGGGAGAGATCGGCCCAACACCAAGGGAAGGAAAGGAAGGGCAAGGCAATGAAAAGACGCATTCGTGCAAAGACTGTGTCCCTGCACATCCAGGCAGGCGGGGTACTGGTGTGTGCGTGGGTGCACATGCTCACACCAGCGAGAGGCCAGAGCCTTCTCGCTGCTGGTCCTGGGAGGGGATGATGACAGCATGTGGCGGGCCTGGCCTATTAGTTCACAGCCAACTTAAATTGTTCTAAATTACAGTGTTGTCACAATAAGGCTGAATGGGGTATTGTGCCTGGGCCATTAAATCTGTTTACCAAAAATGTGCTGGCCACATGGAGGCAGTTAATAATGGTCTTCTCATAGGTTTTGCAATTGCAGAATCTCGTGGCTTTTTCCAAGGAATGCAATTACAGACTTGGCGGAGGACTTCTTTCTTGGGGGCGTGCTTAAGGGCTGCACAATGACCTGCCTTCACTGATGGATGAGGGACCAGAGGTTGGCACCATGGGACAACTACTGGTGTCTGGTTTTTGTTTGTTTTGTTTTTTAATGCAAGTCATTGGATTGACCCTTGACATTTGACCTGGGATCCAGTTTCTAGCTTCTACTTGACTGAGCTGACACAGACTGAGCTGGCACCTCCATCCAGGATAGTTACAAAGAAAGGGATTTTAAGTTAAGTTACCGCCAAACTATTGATGGAATGGATCTTCTTTTTATCCCCACTGTGCTATTTTGCTAATGTTGTATGGGGGGGTGTGCATTAAGCATTCGACTGAAAAATAGGAGGTTCAAACCCACCCATCACTTGGTGGGAAAAAGATGAGCTTTTCTGCTCTCATAAAGATTGACAGTCTCAGAACCCCCAGGAGCAGTTCTATTCTGGCCTGTGGTGTCACCAGGAGTGGGCATCAAATGGACGGTATAGGGTTTGTTTCTCTGGATTCTGCGTTGAGTGTATATATCAGCCTTCCAGCCTATCTGGAATAAGATGAAGTCTCTTTACCTTCTTAGCTTTGATGCCCGGCTGAATTTGAAGAGAGATGGTGCAGTGATTCTGGGTGTGTGCAGTATTTATCAGCTGCTTTTTAAAATCTTGAGATCCATATTATTTGAAGCAAAGTAGTCTAGCAAGGAGGTCCAGGGTGGTGGAAATAGTTAGGCACTTGGCTACTAGACAAAAGGTTAGCGCTTCAAGCCCAATTCATAGCACCTGCAAAGCCAGGCCTAGTAAACTGCCTTCAAAAGGCCCCAGCCTTCACATGCCAATGGAGCAGTCTGAGGTGGGTGTGGCATGGCCATGAGTCAGCATCAGCTCAAGGGCAACTAATCCTAGCAAACATGCTCCCGCATCGCCTAGTAATTGGTCTCCAGTGAGCCCGCTCGATAACCCTGGAGGAGCCTCAGTAAAGCCTTGGTGGCATAGTGGTTACTTGTCCGGCTGCAAGATCAGCAGTTTGAAACCACCAGGCGTTCCGTGGGAGAAAGATTCAACTTTCTTCTCCCACAAGAGTTACAGTCTCAAAAGCCTATGGGGAAGGCAGGTGGGAAGGGAGGGGAGGGGGGCAATTCTACCCTGTCCCATACCATCCCTATGAGTCAGAAGTGACTTGATGGCAGTGATTTTGGTTTAGTTTGGGTTTGCGAGAGTCTGAACCCATGGAATAACTGGATCCGAGCAATGGATGCTCCACATCAGGAGCCAGAAACTGAGTCCTATAGAATCCTTCCTTCCTGAGCAGGCCAGAGTGGGAGGGAGAAAAGGCCAAGTCATGAGCACCTCTTCTCTGTTAAAGAACCTTCCCCACCCCAGCCATGAAGGGAGGGTTGGCTGAGGAGAAGCAGGCTGGCAAATCATTCCACACCTTGCAGGCTTAAAAGAGGGAAGACTGTCTTACTAGGGGAAGCCCACGGCCACCCCAGAAAAACTTCTGTCCCTAAGACCTGTCCCTCCATGCACTGGATTCCATCCAAAACTTCCACCTCATTTTCTAAAGTTAGAAGGTTAAAGAGGGAGCTCTATTTGGCTGTAGACCAAAACCAAGCTGGCGAAGGATATACTGTCTAGCTCTGAGTTTATGTTGTTACCTCTGGAGCCTGTTTCCCTAGGTTCAAATCTTGGTTCCGCCACTTACTAGATGTGTGCGAGCTGTATCTTCTCTCTAACTCATTTTAGTTTTATATGGCGTTTCTTCATAAAATGAGATGATAGTATTTATTCTAAAGGAAATGAGGATTAAATAAGTAAACATTTCCAGAGTTCTCACTAGACCAGGGCCCAGCACACCATAAGCCCTATCCAGATAATCATTTTCTAGTAAAACGAAGCAAGAGAAGTAAAGATAACATCCACGGTTTGTTGAATGCTCTCCACACGAGGTGGTGTCCCATTTCATACTCCTTGGAATCACCTTCTAAGGTTGGTCTTATTTCATTAATACCCCCAGTCTCAACTAAATCATCTGAGGTTTAGAGAGTTAAGTCACCCCAAAACTCCCAGCTAGTAAGTGTTGGATCTGATTCAGATCCAGCTCTGGTTTGAAATTGAGCCCTTCTGTGGGGGAGGGCCCGAGCTTTGTCTTGGCTGGCACTAGCCACTGCCCATGTTTCTTTAGCCTCCTTCTCCTTCCGGTTGGCAGGCCAACAGAGGTGCTATTTTGTTTGATCTGATTTAGATGAGTATATGGAAGTATGAGTCTTTGGGAATACAGACTATGTGTGTATGTTTTGCAGAGATTTTTTCCACTCTTCAAGCAGTTTATATGTTCTAGATATTGAGGTGGTGAAATACAGCTTTGTCATGAAGGGGAGCAGAAGTCGGCATGTTAAGTCTAAGACTGACACAGTGATGACTGAGCCTGGTGCAACCAGGCGACCAGGGTGAGAAGGGAAACATGGGAGGTTCAATGATTCTTTCTATCTGGTAGCTGGAAGCTTATCTCTTCTTGAAGACATACCTTGGTAACTTGGTAATGAAGCCATGCATGGTAACTTGAATGAATGCCATCAGACCTTTAACAGAGGCTCTGAGAATGAATTAGAAAATGCTCAGGGCTATGCTTGGTAGGGAGTGATACCATCTTCTTGTTTTCTTTCCTTGCCCGGACGGATGCGTGAATGAATGGATGGATATGGGTAGAGGTGGATGTATGAGAGAATGAATGAGTGGAAGGATGGATGATTGGATGTATGGATGGATGGATGGATGGATGGATGGATGGATGGATGGATGATGGGTGGATGGATAGATGGATGATGGATGATGGATGGATAGATAGATGAATGGATGGATGATGGATGGGTGGATGGTGGCTGGCTGGATGGGTGTGTGATGAATATGGATGAATGGATATTTGGATGAATAGAAGGTTATGAATATATCAGTAGGTGGATATGAATTGGATGAATGAATATGGCCATAGAAAGTGTCATGTAGTCAATGAGTGTGGCGGGCTTTGTGCATC